GCGCGTCAGGGCGGCCACGGCGCGGGGTAGCGCGGCCTCGGGGCCACTCGGGGCCACTCGGGGCATCCGGGCGTGGGGCGCCGCGGGACCAAAGAGGGCCGTGGAGCCGCTGGGGCGGGGCGGGGAGGGCCGGGGCGCAGTGCTAGGGACGCCGGGTCCCCGGAGGGCCGGGGCAGCAGAGGGCCCAGCCCGCCCCCTCCCCCGCCTCTGTGCCCAGGGTGTAGACCTAGGGTCAGGGGCTGCTAAAAGCACCTGGGTCACGCTCTCCTTTTATTTTCCGTATGTGTCTGTGTGTGTTTCAGTTTTTGGTTTATGTTTTATGTGTATGAGAGTTTTGCCTGCATGTATGCAAGTGGACCGAGTACATGCAGTGCCCACCAAAGGTCACAAGAGGGTGTGCGATCTTCTGGAACTGGAGTTACAGATGCTGTTACCTGCCATGTGGGTGCTGGGAACCAAACCCTGGTCCTTTGCAGGAGCAGCCATTGCTATTAAGCGCTGAAATATTTCTTGATCCCTGTGTTTTGTATTTTTGAGACAGGGTCTCACTATGTAGCCCTAACTGGCAGAACTCTATGCAGACAAAGCTGACCTCTAACTCTGAGAGATCCACCTACCTCTGCCTCCTGAGTGCTGGGATTAAGGCTAGCATTACTAAACCCTGATCTTTCAATCTTCTTTAAATTGGACACACCAAGGATGCTCTTTAGAAGAAATCCCGCTCCCACAGGAAAACCAGCTCCAAAACACTGTGGTCAAGATGGACTGCCAGCTCCTTAGCAAGGGCCCAGGAAGGTCAGTCTTTTAGTTTTTTAGTTGCCTCTACTTAAAGGGTTTTTTGTGTGTGTGTGTCTTTTTGAAGCAGGGTCTCCCTGTAGCCCCAGCTGTCCTGGAACTCACTATGTAGACCAGGCTGGCCTCGAACTTACAGAGATCTACCTGCCCCTGCCTCCCGAGTGCTGAGATTAAAGGCATGTGCCACCATGCCCAGCGCAGTTTTCTTTTTTAAAGATATTTTATTTATTATTTTTATTTTATGTGTATGAGTGTATTGCCTACATGTATGTAAGTGCACCCATGTCATGCAAAGCCCATGGAGGTCAGAAGAGGGTGCCAGATGCCCTGGAACTGTTAGCCACCATGTGGGTGCTGGGATTCGAACCCAGGTCCTCTGCAAGAGCAGTCAGTGCTCTTAACCGCTGAGCCATCTCTCCAGCCCTGAATTTTTTTCAATTTTCATATGATACAATTTGATGGTATTTAGATCCCCTCCCCCATACATCTTTTGAGTAGCAATAATTTTCTAGGCATCAGTGCTAGTCCCCACTCTCAGGGACTTTCCATAACAATGAAGGCAAAATAATTAGAACTTCCACACTGGGCCTAGTGGCCCATGCCTTTAATCCCAGCACTTGGGAGGCAGAGGCAGGTGGATCTCTGTGAGTTTGAAGCCAGCCTGGTCTACCTAGTGAGTTGGGAGGGGGGGTGTCAGGGCTGTCGAGACCACTGGAGGTCAGGTGACTTGCTCTTGATTCCAGGTTACTCCCACCAGAGTGCACCAGTCTGCTAAAGTAGATCATGTTACCAAGGTTCAGCATAGCTTTATAAATCCCCCTATGCTGGAAATTTAATCTTAATTTAAGTAAATGGAGTTTTTTTTTTTTTTTTTTTTTTTTTTTTTTTTTTTTAGACAAGGTCTCCCTGTAGCTCCAGCTGGCCTGGAATTCTCTATGTAGACCAGGCTGGCCTCCATCTCACAGAGATCTGCCTGCCTCTGCCTCCCGAATGCTGGGACTAAAAGGCCCAGCTAAGCTGAAAAAAATCCTTAAAGTATTCCACTTAATTTACTAATTTAGAACATCACTGTGTTTATTATCCACATAACGGGAACTTTTTTATTTTTTTTGTAAACTAGTCATTCTGAATTTTTAAGAATTTAGTCTGACTTATAAGAATTTAATCTGATTTCTGTTCATCACCTTGCTGCATGGGAAACTGGCTGTGGGAAGGCAGGAGGGAAAGAGGAAGGCCTATCAGGACAGGTCCAGAGAAAGGAAAGGGACAGACCTGCCGTTGGAGGGACAGCCTGGACCTGTGTGAGCTGACCTTGACAGGTTTGGGTTTGTGAAGGATCAGTGAGTGTATTAGTCAGGGTTCTCCAAAGAAACAGAACCGGTAGAATGAATATATATGCATAGAGATTTATCAGCTTAGCTCACAGGACAGAGTCCGAGTAGTCCAACAATGGCTGCACCACACTGGAGAGGCT